GATGGTTCGTGTTTGGTCTGTGGGTGCACCACAAACCAAACCCCATTTTTTCCCAGTTCAGGCCCATCCCTACTTAACACACACACACATATTACTCCAAATCTTAGTTTCTAAGAACAGTATCAGACCATCTATGCTAGCATCCTGTTCTCCATAGCTACCACCTGATACCCTCAATAGGCCTAAAGGCAGTCAAGGGAAACCTCCAGCAACTTGATTCAGAAAATCACTGTCTCTAAATACAGAACTCTCATTTAGTCATCATGGCTATTAACAGGTCTATCATCCATGACTTTGTCTAATTCCCTTTTAAAGCCATCTAAACTAGTGGCCATTACTGCATGTTATGATAATGAATTCCATAAGTCAGGTTAAGACTGTCCTGCATTTAGTACACATGAACTTGTTCAGGTGCTATTAGAACATTTTGTATGCTGTGCGTAATTTTATGAATGATAACATCATCTTTTCTTTTAGCCTTTTGTTTTGGGAAACATACTTCAATCCCTTGACCTTTTTGACTGGTCTTTTCTCCCAATTCTATAATATCTTTTTTGAGATGCAATTACCTGCTGTACTACACATATCCTAAATATGGCCACATAAAACTGCATACAGTATTCTGTAAAGATAAAATACGTTCTTTAAGTAGAAAACCAAATCCTGCAATTATCTATAAAATAAACACCGATGCATACTGTATTTTATACACAGAACCTGATTTGCTAAAGAATATGAATTACTTCTGCGCAAAATTCATGGGTTCCTGATTTTTGTTGCTATAGAGCCCATTTCTCAAATTCATGTATCTTTACAACACAAAATAAATTTTAAAGTAGAAATCCCCATGTTAATCTTAATTCCTATTTTAAGGACATTATAGAAATGATGGGGCTATGGTAGCTTTCCTGAAAAGTATGCATACCTTGTTTACTGCTCACACATATGACCAAATCAGAGCCATCAAAAAGCACACTTCCTATTACAGATAATTCAAAATCTGCCCAGAACAACCGTCGACTGAAATGATCGACTACAAGACCTGTAAAAATAAAATATTTTTCAAGATATTTATTAAGAAACATTTTCTGAAAAAAGCATATGTGCACTCCTCCAAAAGCCACAACCAAGCAATGAGTTGTCAGAGCTGTTTGTAAGGTTGATTCATTTTGGCTTTTGAACAACAGTGTGGACACTTTACTGTGTGGATTCTCTTATTTGCTAATACAGTCTCTGATATATCATAAAGTTAATAGAGGACCCAAACGAAATGACCACTTTTTTGTAGGATAAAATTATAAGCCTATTTCCTATTTATAATGTCCCAGAAAACCAACATGAATCAGCAAATTCCAAGCTATTTCCAGGATGGCATTCATATTATTCATAGCATATTAGGCCACAACCCTGACAACAAGCTCATTAGCATTTTAGGTCACACCCAATGCCTTCCCTTGGCTTTCCTAGGCAAGTTGGCCCTTGGAGAGGCCAGGGAAGGCAGGGGGAGGCATTTAAATACCTCCCCGATTCAGCGCCCCACTTGGCTGCCTGCCTTTGAGTCGCTGAGGGGGGTCACTCTCCAGGCCTTCCCTCTGTAGCCATGCATGCAGAAGTTTTGGCTGTAGTGGCCGTGGCCAACTCTGAAGCCAGCCGGAACTCCATTCTTGTGCATTCCTGTCCAAAAATAGTCCTGCTGCTGTCCATCCTTTCCTCAAATCCCACCCTCTCCAGGCTTCATCTCCACCATACCACTGGTTGGCAGCCCTATCTCCTTCCCATCCAACAGGCAACCTACCTTTCTCTGCCCTTCTGTCTTAAGTTTTCCCTCCCCCACTAGCAACCTCCACTTAGAAAAACTGTGGCCCAGTTGTGTGGTGCTGTCCACTGGGCCAGGCCCACTTGCATGGTGGAGAACCATCAAGAGCTTTTGGGGTGGGATCTTACATTTTACATATTTCTCTTCTCCTTTTTATCTGCACAACAATCCTATGAGGTAGGTTAGGCTAAAAGTATGTGACTAGTCCCAAAAATTTCTAGCCTACATTTCACCCATTCTACGACATTTCAGCACAGTATGTTGATAAATGGGGTATCTGTGTGGTGACTACATTTGTTTAAATTTCCTTTTTCCAACTTTCATTAGCACCCAACTGGTAAACATGTGGAAATATTTGCTGATGTTTACCCAGTACCATTTCTTTGGAAAGCCGATATTTTAATAAAAATGTATTAAAACATTTAGGATGAGTAAAGTACTGCTAATTCACATAGCCAGAAAAACAAAATAAATGCACTGTACTTCACTAGTCTGCAGGCAATGACACTACAGTTATATCTGGCAGCCCATAATTTAGTAAGGAATGCTTAAATGATTAGATTATTGCAGTCAGGTTAAGAGCTGTAGATGGTAAAACATATGAACCATAAAATGATTTAATTTTTGTTGCTGCTGAAATAATGTCATTTTATAAGAACAAAGGAAAGATTTTTCTTTCTGTTGAAGTTATGTGCAAATTTTAAAAAAATCAAATACTGCAAATTATATACAGCTACAAAAATATTCTTCAGAAAGAACACAATTGATCAGGTACTGGGGGGGAAGCAGCTTTTGTTCTGCAGCTGTGAAAATATATTCATGGTCCTTTTGGATGAAAATTGCCAAATGACTTTGTAATCCGGAAAACTTAGTTTACTCTACTATTTTGGACCTCTCCTCACACATGTATATGGTTGTTGGACTTTTGTTATAATACAACATTGAATTTTGTAAATTTTGTAATTTTGATTCTTAGGGCATATACACAGCTTTCTTTGTTTCTTTCTTTGGCATCAGTATGCTGATGACACCCAGCTCTATCTGTTAATGGATGGCCATCCGTCTTCCATTCCTAACAACTTGGCTGAGGCTTTGGATGCTGTGGCTGGATGGTTGCGGCAGAGTCAGTTGAAGTTAAATCCATTGAAGATGGAGGTCCTGTACCTGGGTCGAGGGGGGTTGGATGTAGGCGCCAGGCTCCTCACACTGGAAGGAGTACTTTTGGTACCAGCTCAGATAGTGAAGAGTCTGGGAGTGACACTGGATGCCTCTTTCCACGGAGGCCCAGGTTGCTGCAGTTGCCAGATCCATCTTAGGCAGATCAGGCTACTGAAGCCCTATCTTTTCCCCCAAGACCTAGCCACAGTGACCCATGCAATGGTCACTTCCAGATTTTATTACTGCAACTCGGTCTATGTAGGCTTACCCTTGAGCATCTTGAAGCTGATCCAAAAATTATAACTGGTACAGAATGCAGTGGTGCGCCTGCTGACGTCAACGCCTGTGTGGGCTTACGTTAGGCAAGTGCTCCGCCAACTGCATTGGTTGCCAGTTGAGTACTGGATTCGCTTCAAGGTGCTGGTTTTGACCTTTAAAGACCTTTAACAGTCTGGGACCAACATATCTAAGAGACCACCTCTTCCCATATACACCTCGAAGAGCATTACACTCTGAGAGTCAACATCTCCTGGTGATCCCTGGCCCAAAGGACGTCTGCCTAGCCTCGACCAGGGCCAGGGCTTTTTCTGCCCTGGCCCCCACCTGGTGGAACATGCTCCCTACTGAGACCAGGGCCCTGCGGGATCT